CTTCCAGAAACAACAACTTTCAGATGAACATCGAATAACACAAAATTTCCAAGTTCGCTATTGGAGATTGTAGGTGAAATTTTACTTCGTAACTCATATATTATATTGTGAACCGTTCCTATAAATGATAACTGATTCAATTACATAACAAGTGCCTGGAGTACAAACTGAATAATTCTGTGTTCTTATGCATTTATAAATCAGTGAAAGTAGTTATTTCAGGGAGGCTTGTTTTCCAGTTTGAATCTGAAAGTGTCTTTCATGCTAGATGTATAAGTCTTCGTTATTTTGAACTCGATTGCTTTTTTCCTACCTTTGTATAACGATCGAAAATATCCCCTCTTCAATTCATACAAATAATGTAGTCTGCATTTCTTGAAGAAAATACTTACATATTTCATAAGAAATGAACTGAATAATACATTAAAAAATTGTACAATTGCAGATGAAAATATGAGAATATACTCAAATAAAAGAGCCGATATCTTCATATTTTTTCATTTGAGGGAACATTTGTACGGCGTGTATGATTTTCTAATGAGCAATTCTGAAAACGGTCTTGTTCTCTTTCGCTATAGCCTTATAATTAACAAATAATGACGCACGCAAACCCAGTATTTTCCCATTAAACGAGGTAAACTTGTTACAAATTCAGTTTATAAGAATATTTATCGACGTCAGTGAAGGTTATTGAACGACTACTGAATGAAGGTATTTTCTGATTGATTTGAGTAATTACTAATTATTAGTTAATTTAGTAAATGGCGTTGGGTGAATTATTTTCATGGATTCAGAAAAAGATTGAAGATCTTTAGTTTTTAATAAAAGGTAAACTATAACCTTCGTTGTATAATATACCCGAACCACATTCCCGAACAACAACACTTTTGTTGACGCACGTTTCTCCAACCAATTGGACGTAATCAACTGGCTTATATGAAAATTGTATAGGTGAATTATCAATCAGACGTACACATCGTTCACCAATAATAAAATTTATCAATAACACAAACAAAACGTCAAACGGAAAATAACATTGTAACCTCGTAACGAGGAGACTAAGAATCAGTATTAGTTCCCGGCCGGAATCTCAGAAAAATCACCACTAGTAATTGTTTCGGTCATCAATATCGTCATCATGCCATACTAAGAGGGATATATGTAATTTTTCAACTGCGTCGATCGCTTTTCGCGATGACCAGAAGCAATACTCCTTCAGGACCAGGAAGCTGAGACCGTCGCCAGTGCGCTCTACTCCACCTGGGTCGCACATTAGGGCGTTCCACTCCGCGTGACTACGGTGGACAATTTGAGCTCCACCTATTCTGTTTTCTCAACAAACTAATGGGCACCAACCACCTGCGGACGACGGCGTACCATTCTTCAGCCAATGCGAGCGACTCCACCGGCCTGGAAGGAAAATTTTCAGGCCATTGCTGCAGAGATGGTGTACGGTGAGCCACTCTATCTTCCTGATAAGTTCCTGGCGTCCATCTCCACCAGGGACATAGATGACTCGGCTGACTTTATCCGTGAGCTGCGCCAGCATTTCCAGGCGCTGAGGCCAATCAGGGGCACCAGGCACGACGAGCGAAAACTCTTTGTTTTCAAACATTTTGCTACCGCCACCCACGTATTCGTCAGGCACGACGCTCCAAGAGAACCGCTCTAGCTGTCGTACGATGGTCCCTACGAAGTTGTTTCCCGAGCCGAAAAACATGTCACGCTCGCGATACCAGGCAGAAAAGTTCCAGTTACCATCGATCGCCTCAAACCAGCCTACATCATATTCGAGAATATAGCTGCACCTGAAAGTACCACTGCCCTTGACGACGACGACTTTATTCCTGTCGCTCCAGGAGATAATCGAGCTCCATTGCAAGAGGAACCAGCATCACCAACTGCCTCAGGACGTGCTCTGGTCGTCGTGTTCGATTCACTGAACGTTACCAGGCAGGCTTCAATTAATTTACTTAGCAAATATTTTTATTTCCTTCTTATCCGTGCAATATTCACAATTTTATTTTCTTGTACAATTTAATACAGTTCAATAAATGTTTGCACATTGGCATTAAAACATTTTTTATCGCAATTTGATTTCAATTTAAAACTCACCGGTAGACAGCTGTTTCATTTTAAAACTCGCGATTCAACATCAACATTTCATAAATTGTATCTTTGCAAAAATCTATTTAATTTGGAAAATACAATTTCAGTTTCAGTTTTATTTCGCGAAAATTTATTCAACTTCTTTTATATGTCTCCACTTTCCATGGTATCAGTTATCAACGAAAAATATAAAAACTATTTCAAAATGTGTTCGAAGACATTTCCGTTAACTTCCAGGCATTTCATTGGCATCTAACGTATCAGATGAAATTTTCTATGTATCGTTTATGAGTTTGTTTACCGTTTAAAACAATAGAAACGCTATGGAAACAATTTAAGGTAATTGTTGATTTATTGTGATTTGTATAATCATCTATCAATATTTTATGAATACGAAGGAATATTTGATTATGACTTATGGTGAATGTAATCGAATTATCGACCGGACATGCAGATTATTTGCCGAAAGGTATCTGGAAAAACTCAAACCAAATCATAATATGGTAAAAAGGCTGTTGAAAAATTTTTTGCGTCATGAATCAACTCTTCCGAAAATAACCAAACGAAATCCTCTGATGTGTAATGAAGATCTGAAAATATATGTATTTGAATATTTTGTCGTTCATCCGAATGCGTCTCTGAAAGATTGTGAGAATAACCTACCAGTAAAACCCAGAACCGTTCACCACATTTTGAAAAAGCATAAATGGAAACTGTTTGAACATCATCTGAAAAACACGGATTCGCATCCGCAAATATCACGCTGGTATTTTTTCCAATTCCCTACTCAATCCACATCCTACACTCCACATCCTGAGCTTTCTTCGGTTTTTATGCGTATTGCATTTGTAGCATCTGCAATCGAATGTTAACTGTAATTAACTTGTTACGTTCATTACAGTTAACATTCGCACTAACAGCACGATAGACTGAATTGAGATGTGATTTGGGTGTCATTCTGCTTGATGACTCCGATTGCGTAGTTGGTGAAGGTGTTTGTCTATAACACAGAAGAATCAGGTTCAAAACCCAGTTGGTTTTTGTTTTATCGAATTAATATTTTGACCTTTTTCAAAAGGTTTCGGAGCTGTTTCTGAGAACTTCTAATGATTACTTATTTTGTGTATCCATTGTGGCAACTACATGGGCCGAAAACGAAGAATTGGTTTCGCATGGTTGAATATTAGAGATCGCTGTTTCGACCAGTCATAATAGGTCTAATCAGTGGTTCGCGGCCTCACCAAGAATTCATTGCTGAGTTCAACTGTACTTAAAAGACAAACCTGGGCAGGCCTAGTACCATTGATGAGAACTATGCTGGATTGGAAGAGCACTGTTGGGTATCGAATCATGTATGCTTTTTGTTCAGGGTCTGGTTTCGACTAGTTTTTCTGCGAAGAAAGTTGCATGAAAAGAAAGTGGACGAATTTCGTTCAGTGATCACTGACAAATCAAGGTATTGCAAAAGATTGTCTTTTAGAGCTTCGTTCATGATTGATATCGTCTGCTGACCATCCTTTCCTCACTCAATCTTTTATTTTAGGACAATAATGTATTTGTGATTCATCCGAACATCACTGATGGGATAACGGAACAACGGTAAGCAGTGTTTCATCACGAATGGTTCGCTTGTGGGATCTGTGCGTCTTATTTAAAACATTAAAGATTATTATACAAAAACACTACACGATGGTATGTAAAATAGCAATTACATTTTAACTTCAAATAAAATGAAGAATTCGATAATAATATTAACAATCTTCAACCAACAAAGTTTTTCTGAGGCTTGAAAGCCTACTTTCAGTAGAGATTCATGCCACGTAGGTGATGTTTTTTCTGAAACATGGTTTCAGTCATTGCTTTCGTCCATTTTATGCCAAAAATATTGAAAACCATACGCAACAGCAACTCCCAGTGAAAATATGAAGATATTCTTCAGATATCCAAAAGAGATGCCTCTTCTTTTTTTCAGAACTGTGTACATCATATCAGTTTTAGTTCTACTATAGGGTGGATAACGCAGAGATAGAGCCATTTCAGTGTATCCCGCGAAATCCTTGACCAGCACTCCTTTCTTGTGAGAAAACGTATCAAACCCATATTTACCATGATAGTTGCCCATACCGCTAAAACCAACACCACCGAATGGTAAATTCTCTGTGGACAAATGAGTGGCCGTATCATTTACGGCGACTCCGCCTGAGGATGTCCTGGTGAGAAGAGCATTTCGTACATTTCTATCTTTCGCAAATATATACAACGCTAGTGGTTTATCTCTTCCATTGATGAACTGAATGGCTTCCTCAACATTCTTTACGTTGACGATCGGTAAAATGGGGCCGAATATTTCTTCCTGTAACACAGGGTCATCCGGATGAACATTGATGAGGATTGTAGGAGATATAATTCGTTCCAGATTATCGTACTTTCCTCCAATCGCTACATTTTCTGACTTAATGAACCCTGTCAAGCGGTTGAAGTGTCGCTCTGTAACAATTTTGCTCAAATATGGACTCGATTTTGGGTCGGGACCGTAGAATTCTGTCAAAGTTTTTTTGGCTTCTTGGAGGAATTTTTCTTGGGTCGATTTGGTACATAGGATGTAATCCGGTGATATGCATGTTTGACCACTGTTTAATAGTTTGCCCCATAGTATTCGTCTGGCTGATTTTTCTATGTCGGCAGAGTCGTCGAGGTAAACTGGACTTTTTCCACCTGAAAACGAATACTCATTAGTTAGCTGAATTTCAAATTGGTTTTTGGGGTATTATTTGTAATTTCATCAAGCTGAGTACCAAAAATTAGCATAGGTATCGATGATTACAAATTATTCAAAAACTCATTTTCACAACACATAATTGCTGGAAAAGATATTTTTGGCCCTCACTTCTTCGCGCGTATACGAAAAATTGTGGAAATGACGTCAAAATGAAGTGGGAATGGAAAAAACCTTCAGACTCAAACTGGAAAAAAACCTTCTCGAAACAGCTACTTTAATATAAATATTGAATTGCACTAAAGACTTCCGAAACAAATACTTTCATATGAATACTGAATTATATATATAAACCACTTTTCTCTATTTAGTTTGTATTTCGAATTAAATCAGATATCATTCACAATACAGGCTGATTCACGGTGCGGTGGATGGCACATTACACCTTTCTGGTGAACCAGACATCGGATCACTTTGAAAATTCAATGGAGAGCATATTCGGGCATTCTCTACCGAACTAAAAATATTTTTGACAATGCGGTGTTGCCACTTCCATTATAAAATAGTAGCAACTTGGATTTTTCAAACGGAATACCCTGTATATATTATTTTTGAAAT